CCAATTCAAGGTGTTGGTTATGACCTATAAAGCCCTAAATGGCTTGGGTCCTGGCTACCTGCACGAGCGCTTACGTCCGTATATGCCCGACCGCCCCTTGAGATCTGCGGGAGAGGCCCTTCTCCGGGAACCCTGCGTGAAAGAAATTAGGAGGGTAGGCACTCGGAGGAGGGCTTTCTCTGCGGTGGCGCCCAATCTATGGAATGTGCTCCCCAGAGAGGTCCGCCTGGCGCTGTCGTTATTTGTTTTTCGGCGCCAGGTGAAGACCTTTTTATTTAAATGTCATTTTAATTGTTAACAATATTTACTTATTTATCTGGCCAGGGCAACTTCTTTTCTTTTCTTTTATAACTTTTCTAACTTCTTTTATATCGTTTATATTTTTTATTTATTTTATATTATTCATTTTAATTTTATATTGTTATTTTTGTATTGTATTGTATTTTTTTGTGTTGTAAGCCGCCCCGAGGCTTCGGCAAGGGGCGGCATAGAAATGTTCTAATAATAATAATAATAATCAGAATTTCCGATGGTTTCCTATGTTGACTGCTGGAATATGGAATATGTGAATACCTGGTGGCAAAATGAGAGTTGCCTTTTACTATTTCCTTTGTAATTTATTAATTCTTTGTTTATGCATTTTGAACTGTGTATTAAATCTATTTAATGGAACCTCTGTTTATAGGCTGAGTGTATGAATTTGATATTAGAATGTTAAAAAATATGTAGTAGGAGGTTGACCCAGTGAATCCAATGTTTGTGATGTTTGATTTTTTTTTAGTGTTAGTTTAAAAATTTTAATTTATATATATATAAATTATTATATATAATAATATATATATAAATTATATATATATAGGCTGAGTGTAGATTTTATATTTTTTTGTCATTTCTCATACTGTGGCCTGAATGACTAAATGCTGAGGCACACAGAATGCTGTCGCCTTCCCACAAAGTGGTACCTATTTATCTACGAGCATTTGCATGCTTTTGAACTGCTAGGTTGGCAGGAGCTGGGACAAAGCAATGGAAACTCGCCCCATGGTGCAGATTCAAACTGTCGGCCTTTTGATTGATAAGCTCAGCAGCTCAGTGCTTTAAAGCACTGCACCACCCACATTTATAGTAGTAGTAGTGATGATGATGATGATGATGATAATGCAATATCATAAACATGGATATCCAAGATGGTATTCCAGAACTGTGGAGCCATGGCATGGAAGGTAAGTGTCCCTATCCTTCTTCTATGCCATGTATCCCACTAAGCACAAATTACCATTTTCTACCAAGATGGCAAAGCTGTCTTCCTTCTGCTTTTCAGAGGAAGGCTTCCAGAGTGGCTGGGGGTATATTTGTGGCACAGCTTTAAGATGTGCCTATAAACAAGTTCCTTTATAGCTTTATCCACCAAGCCTTATTTACAGATCTTCCATATGGTAGAGGTTCTCTCATCTGGAAGAAATCCTACAGCCAAATGAATCCATAATACATTCGAGGAAATAATATAGCAATATTTCCCCTGTAATATGTATGGTATCCATGTTCCTCTTCCTTCTACAGCAAGTCTTTCATGTGCTGTGCATCACAATGCCAGTTAAGTATATTGGCATATTTCTAAAGCAAAATAGGAAATTCCAGCCTGATACTTTGAAACAGAATCTTACAGCTGCTCACAAATTCCATGTTTCATGTTCGTCTGAATGTTCCATAAACAGTTCTGAGTCCAAAATTACATTTGAGGCTGGATCTGCCACATTTTATTTGACAAAAAAGGAGTGAAAGAAAAACAGAGAGCAAGACAGGGTCCTGCAGTTCTTTAAAGTAATGCTAACAACAAAAATCTTACTCAAAGAATAATGCTGGCATAAAGAAAGTGAAATGCTTTCATTTGGAATAAAAGAAAAGTGGCCCTTTGGAGAAGCCAGCTTTGAAAAACTCTTACTGAATTTATATAGACTTAGAAATCCTGTGAGTTGTGTCGGTATTTGCTTGTTTTGGAATTGGATCATTTCAGAATCATTTGTGCAACAAACAGTGAAAGAACTAAGAGGGGTGTGGAAATGCTGCCCAAGGGAGGAAGAAATGGGGAGATCTGTTTCTGCCAACAAAGATGCACATGCCTAAATCTTCATCAAACCCAATATATATTTGACTCTGTGGTTCTCTGTGCCGACAGTGCACAAAGGAACCTTTCGCCGATCACAGGCAGATGTGGCAAGATGGCAGACGGACAGGGGAAGTCATGATGGCGATAGGCGATAGCAAGATACAATGAGCCGGGCAGAAAAAACTCTGGAAAAGGCGGATTTGAGAAATGGGTATAATGCATGGCAGAGTTAGGGTGGATATCCAGGGTAGGGATAGGGTTCAGAAAACTGAAATGCTCATAATGTTTCTGAGGGCTGAAACATGATTGGAATGCCAAAACACAATGTGCAGGGCAGAAAAAACTCCAGAAAGGCAAGATTTAAAATATGGGTATGCTGCATAAGGAATAGGCCCCATTTTAGGGTAAGGGGGAAAATCCAGGGTAGGGTTAGGGTTTGGAATACTAAGGTGCTCCTGATGTTTCTGAGGGCTGGAATGTGTTTGGTATGGCAAGATAGAATGAGCTGGGCAGAAAAACCTCTGGAAAGAGAGTATTTTAGAACTTGGTATGATGCATGGGGGGTAGGCCCTATTTTAGGGTTAGGGTAGAAATCCAGGGTAGGGTAAGGGTTTGGAAAACTAAGGTGCTCCTGAGGCTTCTGAGGGCTGGAATGCCATCAGAATGGTTAGATACAATGAGCTTGGCAGAAAAAAACACCAGAAAGAGAGGATTTTAGAAATGGGTATGATGCATGGTCCTAGAAAAAGGGGCTTAGCCCACGGAGGAAACAGCAGCCTGAGGAGATTAAGCCGAAGCAGCTGCTGTACCTTCCATAGTATCTGCAGTCTAGGCTAATGCTGCAGCTGGGACCAGTAGCGGGGTTAGGTCAGAACTTGGGAGCAAAGTCCAGGGTACCCAGCTCTCTTGAAAGGACCACCAGGGAATGGCAGGTACAGAAGCAAATTCCATCTGATTCTTGCAGCCATCAGAGTGCCATAATAGAGGTCAGGATCCCATGCATGCTTAGAAACCCAGTAGCTCCGAGCTCGCTCCAGCCAGGGGAAATGCCAGGAAGTCAGGGCATTTTCTTTCTAAACATGCATAGGATGTTTAGGAAGAAGCATCAAACATCAAAAGCAAACTTGCACAGAGAACCATGGAATAGTCAAGTTGGAATGGGCCAGAGGGCCACTGGGTCCAACACCCTGCTCAGTGCAGGACTCCCAGTTAAACCACCCCCCTCAGATGCATCTGGAAGGCTTCCCGTGAGAGAGAGCCCACAACCTTCCTAGGTAATTTGTTCCATTGTCATACTGCTCTATCAGTCAGGATTTTTTTCCTGATATCTAGCGGGAATCTGTCTTCCTGTAACTTGAGTCCATTCTTCCATGTCCTGCACTCTGGGATGATTGGGAAGATATCCTTTCCTTCCTCTTTGTGACAGCTGTTCAAGTACATATAAAGTGCTATCATATCTCCTCTCAGTCTTCTCTTGAGATTAAACATGCCCACTTCTTTCAATCTGTCCTCATAGGGCTTTGTTACCAGTCCCTGGATCACCCTTGTTGCCCTCCCCTGAACCCTTTCCAGCTTGCCCACATCTTTCTTAAACTGTGGTACCTGGAACTGAGTGCAATATTCCAGATGGGGCCTAACCAGTGCCGAGCAAAGAGGGACTAGTACTTCACCTGGTTTGGAAGTGATACTTCTATTAATGCAGCTTAAAATAGCATTTGCCCTTTTTGCAGCCACATCACATTGCTGAAGGGTTTTTAATCAATCGATCGATCAATCAATGCTTTATTGTTTAAATCACCATTGGCAAGTGATTTTAACATATTAGTAATGTTAAAGTATGGAAGGGCAATGTGGAATGTCTGGAGAAAAATGTTAGTTTGGTGTTCACAACTGAAGGAATACACACGGCTACAATTAAGGCACGAGGCATAAAACCATTTAGTCTGGAGTCTAAAATTACCCAGCTGCACCACTGGCTGAGTCAGCCTCCATAAGAGCCACCCAGAGGTGGTGTTCAGGGATGGTCCATGAGGACTGGAACCTGGAATATTTCAGTTGAAGTCTCGAATCTCTGGGAGACACTATCTGCCCCTGCCCCACCATCCATGAGTACTGTTGGGAAGCAGCTGACCTAGGTATGGGCCCTGGGTCATTTGAGAGGTGCCCCAGATTTGTATAAGTGCAAGTGGTCAACAGCTGCAGGTGTGCTTCTTCCTTCCGACCTCAATAACCTGATAGTTTATAGAAGACTTCAGGAATCACTCCATTCCCAAATTAATAGGGAGAGGGACTGTAGCATGAAAGCACCAATCTTTCAAAACAGAGTGGAGGCGGCCACCATTCTGTCCAAAGTCTGTTCATTATTTTCATTAGGTCCAGAGTCCAAAATTGCTGAACAACATCACTCTTACCCAGCTTTCTCAGAGTCTACCTGACTGCAAAGGCCTGCCCAGCCAATTGCTACTGGGCAATTGGAGGTAGCAGGTTTGGCCAGAGTGAAAACAGAAGGCAGGGCTAGATGGACACTTGGCCTAATCCATCATGGCTCTTCTTATATTCTCAGGGATTAGCTCTGAGGACTAGGATTTCTAGCACTTCTTGAATATGAGTATATCTTGAGCTCTTGGGAATCATGACTAAATTAAGGCCATGAGGCAGCCTTCCCCAATCTGCCCCCCC